ATCGTGGCAATTTTTAAGTTTAGCGACTTTTCAAAATGGCGGCAATTTGTTTATTTTCGTGTTGATCGTGACGATATTTTTTAAATACAAGTATTGATTCGCTCCTATTTCTTATCTTTTAGGAATGCTGTGTCACATATGTGGAAAATTCAACTTAAAAACATCCAGAAATAGTTCTTTGGTATGGAAGGCCATGTCATTTAATAGAAGTGGGAAGCAAAGAAAATCACGGCGTTCTCAAAAGCTGCAGATCACTGGGCTTCCATGAAAGTCCGAAGAATCAACATTACATAGAAATCACACAGCAGCAGATTCATTTAATCTTCTACATAAATTTGTTAAAAAATAAAGACACATTTTCATCCATGCAAGCCTGTCATTATTGTTTTCTTTATCTTCAGACAAATGCTAATGATATGTAAATTATATGCAAATTAGCCGCCACTCTGATACATTTTTCTGGGGAGAACACTGAAATTGTTATATAGATTCTGGAGTAATTCTGACTAACATTTGTAACTGTCTGTTAAACCTGTGAATTTACTAAAATAAAGGGCCGTTCTTTATGCAGTTCTTGTTTAAATAATGTATTTTAAAGAAGTTGTGCATGCGATGTACATGTACATGAGATGTTACAATGACCTCCATCCTTAAACCAGATTCCACTTACCCCGGTACATGTGTATGACCGAAAGGCTTTGTACATTGATAACTATGCAGTCACAGGTCATGATAGTATTGATATCATACAGCTAATAGACATAATATGAGGTTTCCACCCTGATATCACATGTTTTTTCTAGCTCTTTGATACAAGTGACGTCAAGGACTGTATCCACCCATGATATGCCAGGAGTAATCAAGCAGCTAATGAATGGGTGATTTCCCCAAATACTTTTCTGGCTGTATATTTTTTGTGGGATGCTGCGGGATAGGGGTACAATGATGATAATAACATTTCGACAAAATGACATAATGACAAAACTAAAGTATATGTTTTATTAGAAGCATGTAAATAAACAATTACATTTATTGTTTGCTGGATCACTATCCAGAAATGTAATATGACTTATTTTGACCATAGACACAACTCTGTCATTTATTTAAGTGCATGCACTACTAATAGAGCAAATACAGTACCTGTTCCTAGAATGCACAATTCTACAAGAATAAATGATTGTTCATTGGGTTTTAATTTGATTATAATTGCTGATAAAATTACAAGAAATCTCATTGTTTCACTTGAAACTTCATTAAATTAAAGCTCAGTGATCAAATATGAATCACATTTTGAAATGGTGAAATAAAATACAATAAAAATGTAATGAAGCATTTTGCTGTAGGCTTTTTCAATTTGAATCAATTCAGTAAATTAGCTAAACAAACGTGATATCTTGAAGGGATTTGTTTTTATGATAAGTCCTCGGAGGAACAAATTTTGAATTGACATTTTATTTTTTCAATTACAGATGGTGGCTAAAGGCAAAGACGCTTCTGATTTATTTGCAGCTGTAGTGAAGAATGTAGTATCTAAAAAAATAGAAGTAAGTGTATTCTTTTTATCGCAACACAAGATGTGCTTCTGTTAAGTGACATGATGACTTTTGTTCTTGTCAGAATTACGATATTCCAAATGCGTACAAGAGTGTATATTAATTAAAGCCCACTGCAAAATAAGTATAATAAGTTGATCATACTGGGTGGTTGGCTCAAAGCTCTATCCACTCTTAATCTACATGGTAATTTATGAATGAAATAACCTTCATGTTCATCACAATCTGATGTCGAAGGACTTGTTGACCATGTTGTGTTGAACCATATCATAAATGTCAGCTAGTCATTTGAATGTGTTGCATTCATCAAAAATTAGTTGTTTCTGTGTAACATTCAGTTAAATGTTGGAGTTACATTGTATTGTTGGAAGATTGGAGGCTGTATGCAGACTTTTGTGTTTTTTTGGTTATACCGTACTCGACCGCGTTAGCGCCCAGGGGCCTCAACTCAGAAAATCACGATTTTTTAAGGGTGGGCGCTTACCCGAGCACCCCCCTCAAAAAAGAGTGCAAATGAAAAATTTGATTCACTAAGTGTCAGATTATGTCTTTGAGGGAAAATCAATTTACGGAATTAATTGAGTCGGCATTGATTTTCACAGAAATGATAAAAAAAAATGCACATTTTATTACAATATTAATTACGTACCACCAGAATTTATGAAATTAAAAACATTTGAGTCTGTTGGAACTCAGTCAAAGTCAATATTATCTCCACTGACGAAGGTGTTGGATCGTACGCAAACTCTCGATGAAAATCACTTTCCGCCATGATGCATTTGCAGATTTGACCTGCAGCAGCGTACTTTGACCTAATGGGTCAAGTTGGTTATTAACCAATCAGAATGCTGTGTTGTACTGACGCATTTCTTAGAAAATTCCCGAAGACTTTCCGGTAACGCAATGTGGAAGTGAATTATCGATGTCGAAGTACGATCTATTGGAATTGATTTCAGCAAATAAACGACGTGGTTTTTCCAAAAAACTAGTAACTAGCCATTTTTGAGAGGTAAACTGAATATGGCATGAAATATTTACCGCATTTTACTTGTATTAACAGGTCATTGTCGAAGCGTAGTTTACGCACGGTTACAGTGTTCTACGCATTCACAACATGTTCACAGTGGTCGATATCCACGCTGTATCATATAAAAACGATTACCAAGATTCGTTATGCAAGACCAAGTTTTAAATTAGTTGCATTTTGAAGGGGTGGGCGCTTTACCGAATGTGACCCCAAATATAAAAATTGCACAAAAGTGGGGGGTGGGCGCTTGCCCCGGGCATGGGCGCTAACGCGGTCGAGTACGGTATATGATTATGTAAGATTGTTTGGTGTGTTTTAAAGTTTTGTTTTATTAATATCGTTGAAAATAAATAAAACTGATGTAACTGTGAAACTTTGTTTGGCAGGAAATAGATGAAATGCAGATAATGTGGGCTGGTGATATGTATTATTAAAATAAGAGATTTCCCTGAAAAAATTGTTTGAATGCAATGCAGTTTATTTTTTTTATTATGGAATCTAATTATCAATGGGATCATTTCATCATCTACATCTGTTCTAAAATATTAATAATAGTTTTTGCATTACCGGATTTGGCTGATACCCCACCCTGGGCGATCACATGGAGGATTAATCTTTCTAAACATTTTCTGAGACCATGCATGATGTATATTCACAAAATAATGCGATCATATTTTATATTATGTTGATTTCTACGTCTCTCTGGACCGCTTTGTGATTTCATTTCAAGGCTCAGGCAAATAAAATCCGGGCAATATTACGAAACTCTTCATTTAATGTCAACTTCGTATAAATACCCTGTACATATACTATAATTTTATTACCACTCAAACCAAACCTTTTCAGGACCAATACTTCCTACAAAAGAGTATACCAAGGGAAAATCTTTTTGTGTCGTGACTTCACAGTGAATTATTTTAGCAAATATATTTGAAATAGCGTACCAGATGCAAGATGTCGGACGGCCAAATTGGGGGTCTGTTAAAATGTTTGTTGGTTCAGTCAGGGAATGTGTGGACCAAAACATCGCCCACTATTTGAAAACCTGCCCATGGGCATGGGTTTAGAATGGGCGGGTATCAGCCAAATCCGGTAATTGTCGTCACTATGCATAACATCATGTGATTAATTTTTCATGAAGTCATTTGGTTTGCACAAGGATTTGGTAAACAAAAACTAAAATAGCAACATATTAATAACTGTAGTGGTGTTGAAGTAATTTCTCAAGTGCTTGGGGTAATAAATTTGGATACAAAACAAATTACTGAAAATCACGGCAATAATAACGCAATTTGGGTTGAAAATGTCAATATTGTCCTCGTTTGATCATTTTCACACACTGTAATGTATTTTTAGTACAAACTTGTAATCGTGATAATCAATATCCCCAATTCACACTACTGTATTTATTTATATTTACCCAGATTAAAAAGCTAGTGTATGTTTATTTGGTGCGGTACGCTGAGGAACAACAAGACTTGGCGCTGCTGTCGATAAGTACATTTCAAAAAGGTCTCAAGGTATGTAGCTTCTTACTAAGAAAGTACCACCCTCTTCCAAAATTCAAGAAGACAAGTCTTTAATTCCTGCTAGTATCTGAGATATGTACATGTCATAGATCAGTACATGTTTGAATGGATATATGCTATTTTTAACACATTTGGCTCAATGAAATCTTAATTTAGCTTAATTTAGCATTGATTAATTTATAAGAATAAAATTAAATTAAATGAGCTTCATCTTGACTTAGTGAAAATATAATCATGAACCCCTAAGTATATTGTCATTACGTTTTGAAAACTTTTGATCAAGATTTGTTTGCTGTGGACAATTTTGTTTATAATTAATGAAGGTATTATAGAAAAATACATATTGAAAATGTTGCACCAATATTTGGGCAAGGTAAATGATGTCATTCTATAATTATTTGCCTTCTATTGTAGGATCCCAATCAGTTGATCAGAGCCTCAGCTTTGAGAGTTTTGTCTAGTATACGAGTACCAGTTATTGTACCTATAATGATGTTAGCCATCAAAGAAGCCGTCAATGACATGTCACCGTATGTAAGGAAGACTGCTGCACACGCCATTCCAAAACTCTACTGGTAAGTGTACTTGTTGATAGAATATTTCAATTCTACTTTAAATATGACCTTTTTGAAACATTTGATGATGTACTGCTCAGTTTATTCTTGTGTTGAGTTCATCTGTAGGTAAACAGTTCAGTGTTTTTCCATGTGACAGTGTTCTCTTCAGTGTATCTCCATGTGTCTGTGTTCGCTTCAGTGTTTTTCCATGTGACTGTGTTTTTCCATGTGACAGTGTTCTCTTCAGCGTATCTCCATGTGTCTGTGTTCGCTTCAGTGTTTTTCCATGTGACTGTGTTTATTTCATTGTCACTCCATGTGTCAGTGTTTGCTTTGGTGTCTCTTCATGTGACAGTGTTTGTTTCAGTCATCGGTAATGAAATCCTATTGCCATGGTAACTAAATATTTATCAATTATATATCATTGGTTATTTTTTCAGTCTTGATCCAGAGTTAAAAGAACAATTGATTGAGGTGATTGAAAAGCTGCTATCTGACAAGACAACTGTAAGTATACCTTTCATTGTGAGTTAATACCATTGTCAGTTTATAACACTATCTACAATATCATTTTATAAACTCCAGATGAAATGTTGTCATACCTTATGATCAAAAAAAAAAAGCAATATCTGAACTTGTCTGTATGGTCCAAAATGAATATAAAATTTAGTGACCATTTTGCAAATTATGAAAATATTTACACTAAATTTTAGGAGTAAAAAATATGTGACACTCAAAGGGTTAACCCGTTGCCATAGGCAAAAACAATCATTTATCACCTTTCACAACAACAAAAATTTTGTTTATAATAGAAATTATGTCGAATTGCTAGTATACATATGTAATGGCTACTATGAATATTACCTTTTGAACATATTGCGTCCATATCTTTGTATACTTAGAAATAAAACTTTTGTTTAATTCTTCCTTTCTTCTCAGCTTGTTGCAGGTAGTGTTGTGTACTCTTTTGAAGAGGTCTGTCCAGAGAGAATTGATTTAATTCATAAAAGTTATCGTAAATTGTGCAATCTTCTTATCGATGTTGAAGAGTGGGGCCAAGTTGTTATTATTAATATGCTAACAAGATATTCCAGGACACAGTTTTTAGATCCTAACGCAGGGGTAAGATGCCTGTCATATCAGCATTTAAATGCACAGCAAGTTTCATGTATATCAAGGCTGTCAATATGCCTTATAACTCGCAGCCTTTTGCGATGACATGCTTCTTCGACATCAAAATGATGTTGATTGGTGGAAGTAATGAGGTTGAAGTAGATATTCCTCTTTGGATGTGTAGTCAGTTCATCATTTAAAGAATAGTTAATCCCTCGAAACAACATTATGTAAATTGTATGCCTTTTTTTGCTGCCCAAACCAACAGGAGGCTGTTGCCGAGGATCTTCCAGAGAATTTTTACGGATCTGACGACTCTGACAAAGAAGAAACTAATGAGGCTGTTGTGGTTAATGTAAAGAAACCATACGTCATGGATAGTGATCACCGACTGCTGTTACGAAATTGTAAACCGTTGTTGCAAAGTAGAAATGCAGCGGTAAGTTGTAATCTGTTCATCTCACTGTCTCATTGTTGGTTGTTTATACACTACATTTCATGATTTGCGCTGACTTGCGAACATTTGTCTTTTGCATAATTAAATCAGTTAACAGCATTATGTCCCGTTGTAATATTGTATTGTTTTCATTTCCTCCATAGGTTGTTATGGCTGTAGCACAGCTATATCATCACATAGCACCTAAAAGTGAAGTGGGAATTGTAGCTAAACCATTAGTAAGACTATTAAGAAGTCACAGGTAAGGTATTAGGAGGTTTTGATAAACTGTACACAGAGATAACACTGAGTGGGATTATCTGCGTCTAGTCTGTGTGATCACGTACTGAGTATGCTTTGCAGTATTGTATGCATCTTTCTGAATGCTGAATACAGGAATGAAAAATAGTTGAATTTTTGGGTTGAGAATACATTCACCATTTTGGAAATATCCATAATATATATTATTATACATCTGTCACTGTAGTGCCATAAGTTACAGCGTGCCCTAATTTTGCGGTATTTTATGGGGTATTTTGATCCTACCATATTAGGAAAGGCAAATTCCAAATATGGAATGATTACGCTCGTAAGTGTCCTCTAAAAATAAAAACAATCATGCCACCTGGGTTTGACCGGACTCCACATAAAGAAGTTCGCTGATTCTGTTCTAAAAGTTTTGGATGTCGGCGTTCCTATGATGTATCATTGGCAGGAAAAGATGTATAATAATAAGGTTATTACCATGATACCACAAAGTATGCACTCAGACAGTTCGCCGTTGCATCAAACTCTGCTGCTCATTGGTCGATACTCCCGCTGTACTGTCTTTGTTCATACTTTTCGGTATCCTCGTAATAACCTCATATTATTGTTCCTGATTTTGCATAAAGTAGGATTTAGATTCCCAGTTCATACCACAAAATGATGCCACGCTTGTAACCATGGGATATACTAACATGTGTATAATATTAATTTAAGAATTGTTGACTGCAGCCAAATTTATCTCCCTGATAATTCTTCTCTAATGCATAGTGTTCTGTCCATGAAGATAGCATTTACTGTGGCTAATTTGCATAACTATATATGTTAATCTTCTATCATTGATATGATAATTAGCCTTTATTGTTCATCCACAATTGTAGTATTGAGGTGGGGGCACCTACTGTATATTGCTGTAGGGAGAACCCTGATAAGTTCACAAAAAAACTGGTGGTGATCAATTTGTTCTGTCAGTCTGGCTTTCTTCTGACACTGTATGTGAAGATCAATATTCATCTCTATGATATGGATTTCTGACATTATATTTATGCTTATTATTTCTGCTGAGATGTGATCACTTACTTAGGTGTGATTGGAATAATATGTGGTACATTATAGTTCATCCCCCGCTCCACACTGTTTTTGTTTCCAGGGAGGTGCAATCCATCGTACTTAGTAACATTGCTACCATGAGTGCCAAGCGACGAGGGATGTTTGAACCATTCCTGAAGAGCTTCTTTGTCAGAGCCAACGATCCAACTCATATAAGATTATTAAAACTGGAGATCCTAACAAATTTGGCAAGTGAGACCAGCATATCAACGATACTTCGAGAGTTTCAGGTATGCTGTTGATTATTTTTCTGGTTCACCAACATAAAGTAGATAGATACACATCTTATTCATTTAATTATACAAATGTGCAGCAATTTTGATGAATTTAATTATCTCCGTATTCGTAGATTTAATAATGTGTCTATTCAAAGAAAAGTTAATGCATTTTCAAAGTAAAATAACAATCTGCACACATGTGTCATCATGTCACATTTATTAGCAATAATCCGGCGTGTATTCTTCCATTTCAATTTGATCAAATTACCATATTAGCTGTAATAGTACTGACATAAATGTCAGAGGTGTGTGTAAGGTCAAAACAGGTCACATTGTAATAATGAGCCGGCATACAATAAATCCTATTTTGGGTTTATGTGCATTTCTCACTATTTTCGTTTTCCAAATCTCAGTAAGTCTGTCTAGTATTCATTAACCACTTAGCATGTCCCATTAGAGTGTCTGATTGTTACCTGTGTGTGAATCTGACAATTGGGTCATGTGACCGAAATGTGTGAATAAGTACGGTATTCCAAAGGTCATACTCATGTAACTGCTATACCACTCACTGATTCTTGGAAAAGAGGCAACTTTTTTCCCCACATTTTTTAGCTCCGCTGTCGACTGTCATACGAGTGATTGTCCGTCGTCGTCCGTGTCAATGTTTTACTTTTTCGACTTCTTCTTGAAAACTACAAGCCTGAATGCTTTGATACTTGGTGTATATGTACCTTGGGTAGACCTCTCTCAGATTTGTTCATTAGTCCCCGTTCGGACGCAGTCCGAAAACGGGGACTTATGTTTTGCCCTGTGTGCGTCCGTGCGTCCGTGATCACCTGTATCTCGAACATGCATGGGCCGATTAAGTTCAAACTTCACTCATACATCACACATTATATGGGACATATGCACATGCATTTTTTTCATGATCCGATTAACGATAGCCGAATAGCGGCCATTTTAAGGCCGAAAATGCATCAAAATCACACATTTTCACCATTCCAGACCCGGATCTCAGTTATGCATGGACGGATTTTGTTCAAATTTGGTACATACATTAAACATAATAGGACCTTGATGCACGTCATTTTTTTTTTTGGATCGGGTTCGAAATGGCCGACTGGCGGCCATTTTGTTTTAAAGAATTCAGTTCTGGATCCGTATCTGAGACATGCTTGGATTGATCGAGTTCAAACTTCACACACACAAGTACATCATGTCACAAATATGTATGTGCATTTGTTTCATGATCTCATTAACGATAGCCAAATGGCGGCCACTTTAAGGCCGAAAATGCATTGAAATCGCACATTT